TACAAATATTAAACATGTTCAGATTTTTCTGTTCATCTTCTCAGATTAAAATAGATATGCTGTTATCTTTGACAATGTTTAATGAGTTTCTGCTGACCAGGACAGAACAACAAGGATTTAAGGATTCATTTATAGATAAGAGATGAGATATGGGAATAAGAGATCATTTGTTGTATTTTTAGAGAAGGTGATAAGTTACTTAAATTGATTATACTTCTTGTGATGAAAGGGAAAGTCATTTCTTTATATATTTCTTCGCTTTTTCTTTTCTTTATTATTTATTTTTTCTTTTCTATTTTTCTTCTTTTCTTTATTTTTTCTTCTTTTCTTTTATGTTTTATTTTGTATTAGCTTTTTAAAAAAATGTAGTATTTAATAAAATTGGAATGAAAAAAGAAAAGTACAGTATATGTATTCCCCTATCAATATATCTGTATCATCACTACTAGTATTTCTTTTAATTTATTGAGTAATATATTAAAAAAAAATCAAATGGACTTCTCTCACTCTTTTCAGTGTTGAAGTACCTACAAGCGTTTCATTTTTCTTCAAGTTTTTCTTCATATAGAGACCCATTCAAATTTCTCTCTCTCTCTCTCTCCCCTTTGGACATCAAATATTTTGATGAATATAGAAGACGACCAGGGTATTGACTATAAGTGTCACAATGCTGCTTTCATTGGTCTGACCCTTCTTATTTTTCCTGTAGATGCAACTGTCTGGAATATAATATACAACTGCCATCAATATATGAATTCTTATTGTTCTATAGTTTTATTCATTTATTCATTTATTTTTTTATTTTTTATTCATTCATTCATTCATTCATTCATTCATTCATTCATTCATTCATTCATTCATTTATTCATTCATGCTCTCTTAAATTCTAACTTTCAGCCTTCATTATGGCATGATTGTCACCAAGTAGGCTCATAATTATTGACTTCCACTGCATATCATACTTTTAGGTCAGTGATGGCTAACTTTTTTGTCGTGTGCCAAAAGCGCACACACCCATAATGTAATGGGTGTGCGCCCCTCGCACCTCCTGTACATGCACTCCCTGCCCCCGCAAATGAGCACGTGACCCCATGTGTGCATAACCCCCGTGCTCGCCTCCTGTGCATATGCACACATCTCCTGCATGCGCCCCACCCCCACGCTTGCAAGGCAGAGACCCAAAAACCAACTGGCCGGTGGAAGGCACGCATACATGTGTGGTGAAGCTGAGCTGGAGCACCGGTTCATATGCCCTCAGCGAAGGCTCTGTGTGCCAACAGAGAAGGCATCATGTGGTGTATTGACAGTCATCCAAGATGTATATTTACTTAAAAGTATATCCTGCAGAGTTGAATGGAATTTGTTATGTAGTATATGTACCTGGGGTTGTAATTTAATCTAGTGGGATCTCCATGCAGACACTCAGATTATATATTTTGTTCCGAAGTGCTTTTACACAAAGGCAATCTTAAATTTCAAAGGTGGGGGGCAGTTTTCTAGTGTATTAAAACAACTATGGAACTTTTGGTGGGTGTCAGTTTGTTGTATAGGAAACAGGAAAAAAAAGATAAAATAAGAATCCAATAGATAATTTCGGAAATAAAGAATAGTAGACTGCTTGGTCAAAAGGCATTCAAATAGAAGCCATTTAGAGGAGAATCATGCCACCAAATGAGCCACTTAGCATTTTCAAGTGACATTTGAAGCTAAATAAGCCTGTTCTATGCTCAAGATGTCTAACACACTGAGAATGACTGATGAAGAAGTATTAATGGAATTTGAAGCTTTGTTCCATCTTAATAAACGTGGCTCACTATCAATAATACAGCAGCAACCTATTTTAATGCTATGGGAGACCTTTTGGTGACATGGATTGATTAGGTTCTATGTAGACTTGCTATCTTGGCACAAAGCTCAGGCTTTTAGCATAGTTACATTAAATCATTTCTACCCATGAATGGCACCAACTAGAAAGCTTAATATTAAGCTATTTTTTATTAGGCTGCTGTTCCATACTTTTTTCAGGCATGATTTGTTCTCGAGTGGCTTCATAAATCTGGTATGTCAAGGCATGTTTCCAGTTGATAATTGGAAGGCAACTCTTCAATGCTTGAAAAGATGTGTGTTTTGAAAAGGATACCAAAATTGAACTCCAGCAATTAAGCATTTGGATTTCGAATGGTATTATGCCGACTTTGCAAACCGTTTAGAGAGGGCCATAAAGCACTGTGAAGTGGTATATAAGTCTATGTGCTATTGCTAATATTATTAAATCCAGAAAGCCAGTTCAACTCCCTATACCACAGACTTGGAAAAGAAAAAGGAGGGTGTTGGGAAGAGAAAGGGTATTCCCATCAACTACATGCATTGGCATTGCCCACTAAACAGTCTATTAGTTTATCTCTCTGGATATATGTGGTCTGTGATGAAAAAGTCCACCCTTGCTGTAAAGCAAGCAAAACTTTATGTGAGAAGAACCTAGCCTGTTTCCAAATGCATATATAACCAGATCCTGGTTATGTAGAACATCACATTTTTTGCTGGAGAAAAATCTTTGCTTATCTTAATCTCCATGCCCTGAGAGAAGATTAAGATTATGATGAAAATATTTTAGTTTATGGCGAGAAGCTATATAAGTCTTATATCCTCTTTCCCTAACACACTCTGTCTGCATATTTTGTTTTCTTCATGGCAGGTCTCAAGAAGTGGAAAAATAATATCAGACAAGGAATACCGGTTAAATGCTATGAAGAAGGATCATCAGAAGTATATACGGGAATGCTTGGCTCAGGCTATTTTCCACAAAGCTCTTGATATGGAAGTATGGTTATATTATGCCTACTCTTCACAAAAGTAATATTCATATATTCAGGATTTCTGAGAATATCTACAGGTGTAACTGTGTTTAAGATTAGTGGAATAACTACCCCACTGTTTAGTAACCATCAGTATATTATAATTATCCATTTTCACATATTTGACAGTTATTGTGGGTTAGTAATGATCAATAGAATACATTAGAGCAGAAGAATTGTCCTAATAATAAACGATGAAATTGGCAAGGCAAGAACCAGCAATTCCTAATCTAGAGAGAACCATTATGAAAATATACCCCAGGTGCCAAGGCTATCAAGAGACTAGCCAAGAGCCCATTAGCTTAGAAAGATAGTGATGAAGCCGAGCTTTTAAACATTGCGGCATAGATATTTCCAGCTTTGAATTCCTTATTCTGGGCAATCAACTGTTGGTTTAGACTCTTCATTTTTATCTGCAATAAAGTTTCTAATCTAGAGAGCCTTCTGCAAGATAAGTGAACTCCTGAGTAAGGGATTGAGCATCTGGAAAATGATGATCAATTTGTGTGAAGTCTGATGTTAACTTTCAGAACATTTGTGAGGCTTAATTTTTGTTTCAAAAGTAATCTGTATTGATTCAGTAACCTAAGGAATGTCTGTGCTTTTAACCTGTGTTAGTGACTATGATTATGGAGAATTACAGTAGTAATTTCATTTATTCTAGATTTATTACTGTAGTAATCAATTCTAAGAAAATGCCTTAGGTGATAGGTAAACTAGTTGTCAAAAGATAATCCATAGTTTTAGAAATAAATGGTGATAATAAAGTTAAGGGAAGAAGCAAAGAGACTTGTAATTGGCCAGATTACTGGTGAGACCTCAGAATGTAAGTAGCCCTTGGTCACTAGATTCCACACAGTCATCTCCTGTGGGAAAGACAGCAGGAGGTCATGTCCCATCTGTGTACTCAAGAACTGGTCACAGCCCATCAGAAAAATGCTTACTTCTACCCATGTGAACACCAAAGGTCATGGGAAACTGGCAAGAACAAACAAAAGCATAGATATAAAGAGTGAGGAAGGACAGGAAGGAGCAGACGCTATTTCATTCACACAAAAAGTGGAAACGTGGCTGGAGGTAGGCCTCAACCTAGCTTGGTTCAGCCTATCAGTTGTTTCTACCTTCTGACTTCCTTTGTGATGCTACTGTTTCCCGTGGTTTCACCTATAACTCAGAGATATGGTTCAGGAGTAGCCCCGTAAAGAAATTTAGGTCTCTGAGCCTTGCTAAGAAGTCAGTGTTCATTTTATACAGGTTCTTGGCAAAGTTGAGAAACCTAGATGCTACTTCCCTAATGAACAGAAAACAGCAGTTGAGACCAACTGTCTTAGAATCTTGGAATTCTAAGGAGGTACCACCTAAGTCAGATGTGCATATACATACACACTTGCACAAACATGGAGATTATTTAGTAGTGACTATCACTTTCCCCCCTTGGCTGATCAAACATCTGGTAACATCAGAAACACCTCACACAGCCAAAATATTTGAAGAAATCTTATGGATCGTCTAAGCCAATGGTTCTCAACAGTTTGCCAATGGAATTGCCAAAGAGAGTTTTGTTGTGGACTTCCATTACCCTTCCTCCTATACCTAAACAGACAGAAATCTGCATTGGAGGAGAAAAGATGGCAGCGGAAAGCTATGACTTGGTTTGGAAATATAATATTTCTTTTTTTATATTCCCTTCTCCCCATTTCCTTTCCTGACATAAACAAGAAAATTAAATAGATAAGGATAGTGAGGAAAGCTTTTGGGGTAAAAAGAAAAATCTAAATAGGACCTATGAAAAGGAAATCATGGGGCCTAGCCCTTTGGGATAGAGATAGGAGATCTCATGTGGCTTTTAATGATGATTTTTCTTTCTGCATTTTCTGCTGGAATGAAAAATAGTGGCTTGTCTTAGTCTGGGCACTTCAGATATAGTGGATTACATCTCCATTAAAGCCCAGCCAGAGTAGAAGTTTAATCCATAACATTTGAAGGGCACCAAGTTGGGAATATTTGTTAAATAAACTGTAGTATATATTTTGAATGTAAATTAAACTTGTTCCAATATGAGTAGTAGTAGCAGAAATGTATGGCTACCACGTAAAGGTTTTGTTCATCTCACATATCAGAGAATTTTACTTCTTTATGGGCTACATTGGGCATATACAGTACCTTTTTGTTGTTTCTCTATGACTATCATTTATTTGTTTTAAAAATCCTCAACAAATGCCTTGCTGATGACATTTTCCTTTCTGTGGTTGAAAAAAAATGATGTTACTATGCTCGTTAGGACTACCAGCTCGTCTTTTCTCCCTCAATTGTTCAAAAATAGATCACCTATACTTGGGCCCAACCATACATCAAACACAATATATAACATTTGCCTATTCAGTCTAACAGAGAGATCTTTTTTCTTTCATGAGGCAGTTAAGTGCAAACGGAACACTTCTGTTGGACTTTCTTGTTGTGCCTGGGGAATTTCATGTGACTACAGTGCATAAGCTAAAAATAGCAATAGCAATAGCAGTAGACTTATATACCGCTTCATAGGCCTTTCAGGCCTCTCTAAGCGGTTTACAGAGAGTCAGCATATTGCCCCCAACAATCTGGGTCCTCATTTTACCCACCTCGGAAGGATGGAAGGCTGAGTCAACCCTGAGCCGGTGAGATTTGAACCGCTGACCTGCTGATCTAGCAGTAGCCTGCAGTGCTGCATTTAACCACTGCGCCACCTTTCATAAATGGAAGACCTTTTCAAACCTAATTGCTTTGTAAAAATAAAGCAAATAGGAAACAATTCCATGTTTAGGAAAGTCCACATGCCAATATATCTATATTGCCAGTTTGTAATTTCACATTCAAGATTTAGATTTGATCGGCTAATTAAGGATGTGTCTTCACAACACATAAGCTGTACAAATATAGTTGAGTAGGTTACTCAGGGGTGGGATTGAAAATTTTTAGCAAATGGTTCTCTGCCCGGTTTCTGGGGGACATGGCCATGGGGGGAGGGCATAGCCTACTCGGCTTCCTGCACCATGGCTTCTCAAGCCTCTGGGAGGGTGAAAATGGCCTCCCCTGGGCTTTGAAGGCCCTCCGGAGGTCAGAAACAGACCCATTTCCAGACTTCCAGGTCGTCCATTTTTCACCCTTCCAGAGCCTCCGTGTGGGCCCTGCACTTACCTGGCATGATGAACGGGCCATGTGGAGACTCCTGGGAGTGGTAAGGCACGGTAGGCGGGGCTAGCCAGTCTTTTCAACTCCCGGTTTGGTGAACCAGATGTAAAATTAGCATCCGGTTTGCCTGAACCGGTCCGAACTGGCTGATTTCCATCCCTGGGTCTACTTAAGATCACTGCATTTTTCTCCTGAATAGTACAGCTTGTTTGGGTCTTGTATATTCAGTTAGGGTTCCTGGGAGCATGTAAAAGGAGAGCACCCATGTTTTATTTTCAATTTGTTATTCTTCAAAGTACCATGCAAAAAACACAGCAAGCCCTAAATTAGCTAGAAATGGGAGAAAGAGCCAGCAGGGACAAGTGTCCTATCTCAGGGATAAGAGTCCTGGGACAAAATCTAGTTCTAATACTTAGGTTTCTTGATAGACAAGGATTAAGGTAAAATATTTCAGAAACATTAAAGTTAAGATATTTCAATAATAAACATTGCGTCAGAATTTTGACAAGTACAAAAATCTAGATGACTTCCTTGATGGCACCAAAATGTTGTGAGCGCTAATGTCTTTGTTGCCATGTAGTAGTGATAGTTTGATTTTTTTCCTATCTGGATATGGTCAGCCTAGTTTCAGACACTGAATGCAGCATTGCATGTCAACAACTTTAGGCAGTAATTATTTCAAGACATTAGAGCTAGACACTGAATCTTTAGGACTGATTTCCCCACACTTTTTATTCTTGCCTTGCCCCTGCTTCCTTCTGAAGAGACTATTCCAAGGGGCCTTGACTGAAAGTACATATTACAATAACCCATCCTTAGCAGTTCATCTGAATGCAGCTAAATTTACTTTTTTATACTCCTATTTTATATGCAAGCATGTACTGAATGTAGGAGATACCAAAATTTTTGTTAAAGGATTTGGTCCTAGGAGCAGTTGGGCATATATTAAAATAATGGCTTTTAAATTGCTGAGGTTTTTTCCCCCCAAAGATTTTTGAGGATCTCAGTCTTTAGTTATAACATTTACAGATGTGTTACTAGATCCAAATCTCCAAGGGATTTACACGTACGAGCTTATTGCCTATTACCTAAAAAAACTGTGAAAATGGTTGTCTCTCAGGATTAAGTTAGACACGACACTCCACACCTAGCACCTGCTGTCTACATTTAAAAGACATTTTCACAAAAGCTCATTAGGTATAGAGTGTCTTGTTATACTTCCTTGCAGAGGAAACCAGGCATGCTCCATTTTTAACAGCAACTTTGAGAAACATCAGGGAAATGCTTGTACCTGTCCAGATAAATTTTCAATACTTAAGCAGCCTTCTCCACTTAATGCGGTATAGGTGATGGCTTTGTTCACCGCATTCATCTTAGAAAATTACTTCATTATTGAGTGGTGAAACTGCAGTGCTTAATTACGTGACATGTGACTACAGTGCATTTCACAGTGGTAAAGTGTTTGGTCTGCTTGGGAATTGTCGCTTCTTTTTCCTTCCATTCTGCTGAAAGCCTCCCTAATTATTGTGATGCATTGCAGAAAATGGGACAAGGTGTTGTCGAAACAGGCACCCCATTTTGCCCCGCGCACATTCTGAGAATTACATTTGGATTTTATAATGTTCGATAGACAGCTAAAGCATTACATAATTTCCCCATCCCATCTCTTCTGTTGTGCTCTCAAGTACTACTTGTGTTCTTAAAAGGACTATAAATCATCATTATCAACTAGGCTGGGAGTGTTGCTTGCTGGGAGATGTGGTTTGAAAAGACAGAAGGAAGAAGGAAGAAAAAGAAAGGGAACAGGTTTCTAGGATGTAGGAGGATTAATAATAGCTATTTGAATAGAGCTCATGTCTTTAATCACTTGACATTCACTCACTTGCACTTTGATATGAGCCTTGCTTACACAATCAATTTGACCAGCCATTTTGGTGGGGAACTTTCTTCTCTATTTATATTTTAAAAAATCATGGTCTTCACTCTTCCCCAAAGGCCACCAGAGCAATATATAAAAACCAGAAAGAATCTCAGTCTTACTATCCAAAAGAGATTATGAGGAAAAAAGAAAAAAGCAACACTTAAAGATTGGGAGGAAAGACAAAAGCTGTAAGAGCTGAAGAGTAATATTATGTGCTCTAGGAATGATGTAACCATATGGTAAATCTGAAATGTGATTTTGTCTTTACTTTTTATTCTTTAAAAATGGACCAATTAGCGACATCATCAGGGTGACGTAAAAAAAAAAGTTGAGAGTTCGGCAAGGCGAGAGCGGATCCAGAAAACCAAGGTAACGATTTCTCTCTTTTTGAAAAGAATCCCTGACTACTTCCATGACTAGAATTGACTGCTATTGATAAGACTTAGAGATACATGTTTGTTTAGGGCTATCAGTTCTGGATTGCAAAAGTCTCCATGACTGTTAGAAAAGCATCAAAAGAGAGTTTACTGAATTCCCTTGCTGCCCTCTAATGGTTGTCCTCAGGGGTGGGATTGAAAATTTTTAGCAACCAGTTCTCTTCCCCCTTGCTTGGGGGGCATGGCGATGGGGGGGCATGGCCTACTCAGCTTCTTCACTGCGAGGGGGGATTTTTGCCCTCCCCAGGCTTTGGACATTTTCCTCAAGCCTCCGGGAGTGCAAAAACAACCACACCCTGCTCTGGAGGCCCTCTGGAGGCCGGAAACGGGCCCATTTCTGGACTTCCAGAACTTACAGTAGGCCTGTTTTTTGCCCTCACCAGGCTCCTGAGGTTTTCCCCAAGCCTCCAGGAGGGTGAAAATGCCTCCCTGGGCTCCGGAGGCCCTCCAGAAGCCAGAAACGAGCCGGTTTCCAGACTTCCAGAACTTCCGATAGGCCTGTTTTTCGCCCTCCCAGAGTCTCTGCACCGAGCCCAGTACTTACCTGCATGATGAATGGGCTATGTGGAGACTCCTAGGAGGGGTGGGCAGGGCCAGCCAGGCATTGCAACTACCGGCTTGGCAAACCAGATGCAAAAGTAGCATCTGGTTCGCCCAAACTTGTCCAAACTGGCTGAATCCCACCCCTGGTTGTCCTGTTTTTTTGTAGCATAAATTCGGTGGCCCAACACTTGATCTGACTTTATGAGCTGCTCCTTTTTCCTATATCTAGCAATTACATTACTTTTTATTCTATTCATGGTGGGCATTTGGTTACATTCTGCTACTGTTTCCTAATTATTTTCTCATGGTGCAGCATAATTACATTTATATAAATAGAAAAGCCAATTTGAGTGCCTGTTTGATAGAGTTGTTGAAGACACCAGGCTAGAAACCAGGAGATAGTCAGTTTTAGGCATCTCTTTGACATGAAGCCAGCTGGGTAACTGCCCTAAGAAGAGGGCAATGGCAAACCACAAATAATTCCAAGGACACTGCACAGGCTGCAGTCCCCAGGAGTTATAACTGACTCAAAGGCAGCAAAAAATAAAACTAAAGCAAATTTATTAATATTTGAAGGTTCAGATGTGGACCTTGATTCTACAGGGATTTGAAGATATTGGTGGAATTCCTGGGTAGAAGTCTTATTTACAAAAAGCTTTGCCAGAGAGCATTATTTCATAACAATATTGTTTACTCAGGTATCTCAAGCCATGTTCAGGCATTACTGTTCCATGTTCAAACTGATGCTGGATAAGAAGTAAGCAGGCCCTCCCCCCCCCCTTCCTTAGCCATATGCTTACAGTACAGCTCTCTGCAGCAGCCACATTAACTTTACAGAGAATTGCCTTTACACGAGTATACAGGAGTCTGACTGTCTCACATGGGATTGCTTATATATAGAATTTAGTATTTGCTAGAGACCACAGGCTGTATACATTAAAATAATCTCTGCACATATGTCACAAGCATGGGGAATGAGGTGAAGAGATGCTGCCTAGGAAACCATCCAACAAGAGAAGCAGGACCCTTTAGTGGCTTAATGGTTGGAGAAAGAAAATTAGGGATGACCCCCCCCCCCTCTTAATGGATCAAGTAGTTAAAAATAGTCGTGGGAAATCTGTACTTTCAGACTTGCAAGATTCTTTTAAGGTAGCCTTACATAAAGCAAAATTAGTTCACCTAGTCATATTACTCATAAGGTAACTTGTACATGTATATGTAATGTCAAGTCTGTCATTTCTCCTTCCTTTAGGCGGAACGAGTGAAAAAGGCAGGAGATGGTTCCCATCACTTGCTTTCCCCACATCCACCCACTGTACCAAGAAATCGCTTTGGGCGGCGCAAATTGGGTGAGAGAGGACCATCAAATCACACGGTGAGGCTCTAATGAGGCTCTATAGGATGAGCCATAGTCCTGTTTCCATTTTGTTTCTACAGTTTCCTACAACTGGAGCCTAGTTTAATGGAATCGAAGTGATATCATGCAAATTTGCAACACTGGAAGACTTCTCTTAAAATGTTTATACTCTTTTCATCCAAAGGATGTAAAGGTATCATACATGGCTGTGGTTATAAAGGACATTTGCAGATTTCCACCAAATGTATATAGATGGAGAGATGGGATTTTAGTGAAGTATGACCAATCAGGAAGGCTGCGGATCCTTTGAAGAAATGTTTGAATAGTGAAAATAAGATATTCCAAAATAGTCCTTGGCTATCTAGAAGCTAAACAAGTCTGCCATTCATTTTATCCATGAGAATTTCTCTGAATCTCTCTCCCAGTTTGAAATGATTTTGTAAAACAAATTCTCTTTCATGAGACTGAATTGATTAAAAAAATGCTGGGATTTCATGGCTCAATTGGCCATATGTACTTATTTTATCCTCCTAACAACTTAGCAAGTATGGCTTGTTTAAAGACTGAAGTATCTATAACAGGTGAACCTTTTTCACCTCGGATGCCAAAAGCACAAGCTCACGAGCTATTGTGTGCGCTTGTGTGCCCATCCCCATAACAATGCCTTGCGAGTCGTGTCCCTGTGCATGCATGTGTGACCCCCCCCCACTGCTCCACACATGCGCGGATGGCTTTCTAGGAGCCTGGGAGGGTGAAAATGGTCTCCCCTTCCCCGCCAGAGGCCAGAAATGATGCATTTTCCAACTTCCCTGAAGCCTCCGGAGGGCGAAAAACGGCCCAACAGGCAAACCGGAAGTTCAGGAATGAAAATGAAGGCAGAAATCAGCTGGCCACGTGCTGGAGCTCACAGGGCAATGCCTTGCATGCCTTAAGAAATGGCTCCATGTGCCAACTGTGGCACGCGTGCCATAGGTTTGCCATCACAGATCTATAATCACCTTATGTATTTTGATACTTGAATATGAAGATCTGGCTACTCAAAATCAATGTTACAGGTATTACTTATCTTTATTTATTTAATTTATTACGGCTACCCAATTCTAGAATGGCACTGGATGGCTTAAAATATACATGAGGTATTCTTTTTAATTGAAAAATAACAATTAAAACAACTTGACCACCTAGACCAAAAGAAGCAATTCCAATATATAGAAAAAAGATTTTATATCATGTGAGTTCATTTATAATTCATGTAACTTTACATTTGTGTCCAAGTATATGCGCCCAATTGATCTTTTAGCATGTAAAAGAACTCTGTTGTGGGATGACAATACAAAGAATCCTGCTTAATTTCATGAAAACTCTCTTATACGAACATTATTTTCTCCAAAATGTGACTATTTTAAATATATCTCTATTAGAATATAGCTATTTTTGAATACAGGTAGTCCTTGATTTACAACCATGATGGAGGCTGGCCATTATGGTCACAAGTGGTGCCAGCTGTTAAGTGAGATGGCCTCGCTTATTGACTCCTATCCCCATCTACAAACTTCACAAACAAATGGAGCCTCCTTAAAAAAACAGAGTCCCCTACAGGCTTGCGAGAATAATATTTGCTTACAGAATAGCATAAGGTTGCCACAAGGCAGGCAACCTCTATAGGAATGCTGAGTCTTGCATTGCATCAGCCAAGCAGGTCTCTGCAAAAGACAGAAAGGTAAATTAGGTGCTGTTGGATCCTGGAGCTGACTGAGGAGCAAGCCAAGTCCTGCAAGTCTCTGGGTGGCTGAATAGGAAGAAGACCTCGGCCTACAAGCTCTCATAGCCCCACCTGCGCTAATAGTGTCTGCCTCCCAGCTTTAGGCTCCCTTAGGTGGCTGATTACAAAACAGGGCCTTGGCTTATAAGTTTTCACAACCCGACATGTGCCAGTAGCATTCAGTACCCAGCTCCCTTAGGGGGCTCATTGGGAAGCAGGCCTTGGCCTGCAAGTTTCCACAGCCCCATTGGCAACAGTAGCAGCTGCTGCCCAGCTTTACACACTGCCTTGGGTGGCTGAGTGGGAAGAAGGCCTTGGCCTACAAGGTCTCAGAGACCCGTGTGCACCAGTAGTGTTGGCTGCCTGGCTTTAGGCTCCCTTGGGTAGCTGAATGGCTGGGTGGGAAGCTGCCTGAGGCCTGTGAGGATCCAGCAGGATGGGGTGGGGGGAAGGAACTCTGCAGTGGCCATAACTTTCAAACTGGGTCATAAGTAACTCTCGGGAGAGCATCTGTCATAACTTGGAATAGTCATTAAGCAACTGATCATAAGTCAAGGACTACATGTATCTATTTGAATGAAATACATATTGGCTTATTTCACTTAATTCATCTTTTGTACAATTTAGCTTAATGAATATAAATTGATATAGATGTAAAACTTCTATCCATCTATCCAGGGGTGAAATTCAGCATGTTATGACAGGTTCTGGAGAACTGGTAACGGAAATTTTGAATAATTGGGGGAACTAGTAAATACAACCTCTGGCTGGCCCCAGAGTGGGGAGGGAATGGGGATTTTGCAGTATCCTTCCCCTGCCACGTTCACCAAGCTACGCCCACAGAACCGGTAGTAAAAAAAAATGAATTTCACCACTGCATCTATCCCTTTTGAACCCCAAAGTCCAAATGTAGATAGATTACAATTTCATTTTCAGAAACATGCATAAGCTACATGTTTTTAAGTTAGGGATAGGCAGTGTGGTGCCCTCTCGGTATTTTTTATTACAAATCCAGTGGTTTTAGATAGTTGAAGCTGTGTCTAAAAACTTACAGAGAACCAGTTTACTCAACCTAACTTAAGTATTAACGTCAGTGTCCTTTCATGGTTCAGATTTCTTATCCTCGACCAAGCACTGCTCCAGGAAACATACAACAGCCACTCCGACTTCAGCCCCTCTATGGAAAAGTCATGACTGAAGGTTCATCAAAGACTTGTTCGAGCTCCAGACCAAAGTTTCTCAACGTTGACAAAGAATATCATTTTACTAGCGAGGTTAGCATTTATTTCTTTACACATGCAGTACAATAAGAAGAATGAGGATATACAGATCTTTTTGTACAATCATGCACAAGGAATCATCTAGCACATTTAAAAATAAAATGGAAAGTAATGCAGAATGAATTCTGTTGATAACAACAAAGGGTAATTATTCCTTACAATTGGTTGCAAATGGGGGTGAATCATCTAAAGAGACCAAGTGTGGGAGTTCCGTGCTGGAGGTGGCTGCTGGATTGATGGCAGATTCCACCTCCCCCTTTGGTCTTGATGTTCTCATTTTCTTTTTCATTCTTTACTTTGTTTTATTATTTTACTTCTGTTTTCTTTAAACTTTTTTTTTTTTCATTTCTTCCTTTTTATTGTTGTAAGCTGCCTAGAGTAGTGGCACAGTGGTTAGAATGCAGTACTGCACGCTACTTCTGCTGACTGCCTACTGATTGCATGCTACTGCTGCTGACTACAGTTCAGCAGTTTGATTCTCACTGGCTCAAAGTTGACTGAGCCTTCCGAGGTCGGTAAAATGAGAAGCCAGATTGTTGGGGGCAATATGCTGACTCTGTAAACTGCTGTAAAGTATTGTGAAGCGGTATATATGTTTAAGTGCTATTGCTATTGCCATGGTGAAATACGCAGCAAATAAATTTAACAGATAAATAATAAATCAAAGGAAGAGAAGCAGCTGCTGAAAATAAAGGAAGGGGGAAAAGTTTCAAAGGATTTCACTGCTGAAGAGCATGGATGCCTCTGAAGATTAGATGTTTCTTGAAAACTAGCTGAATATTCACTTTTTCTGTAATGGAATTTCTTCCTCTTTCCTTTCTTTCACTATTTGGTTTTTTTAAAAGATTTTTTAAAATCTTCCCTTTATTATTTTTACAAATATTTCAAAGCAGCAAACATAACTAATACTTCTTCCACCTCCTATTTTCCCCACAACAACAATCCTATAAGGTGGGTTGGGATGAGAGAGAGAGACTCACCCAAACTGACCCATAGAGCTTATGGCACGTATATAAGACAAATATAATGGAGGAGAGTGGAAACATCTCTTTGAAACACTACACGGGTCTAATTCCCAGTACCACTGCTCCTCTGAATTAAGTTGGAGTCATCGTATAGGTTCTGAAAGTTGTGAGATCAAAATATTTCCTAAAATATTGTTTTATGCAGCAGCGTTGTGGTTATATTCATTGATACCTGATTTACTTCCCACCATGTTAAGTTTATGCCAAGCAAAAATGTTAAACTGTGAGCAAAGCATAATGATGGAAATCAAATGTATAGATGTGGTTTGGAGATAGTTCTCTTGGTTTAATCATATTAATTGAATCTGGGAGACAGTCATGAGGTGATAGGAGACAAAGCAGCCACAAAATGGAGAAACCTAGGCCACAAGAGCTTTGGTAGGGCACTAGTGGTAAAATAAGGACATCTAAATGACATGAATTTTATCCATAAATTGTATTGAACTCAGCTTGTAAATACACCCTAAATATGGGCAGATAGTCTTCAAATTCAGCTTAAACGTACCTCATATCATTTCTGGCTTTAGAAATTATAGTTTTTAAGTGCTGTCAGTTTTAAACTGTTTGCAGTCCCACGCAATATGGGTAAAATTAAGTTTGTGGAAATCCAATAGGTGTATAGGACCAATGGCAGGCAAACGTTGGTTTGAAGCTAGCATTCCATGTGTACCTCACTTTTAGTTTTTCCAGAATTGTATTTTTAATAATGAAAAAACAATATCTCCAAATACAGGTAGTAATTCGGTTTAGATCCTCAACCAGCAATTTGCGAGAAGTCAGACTTAGAAAAAATGGTCTTTATAAGGTCTATAAATCCCACCCACAGTACAGGAATGTAAAAGCTGAGGAAAAAGAGACAATTTGATTTCAGAAGCAGATAAAGCCAAGATGCAGGAATAAAAGCTGGGTGGAGTCTTGTACTTTCAGGAGTCAGTCAGGGAATCAGAAGCAGCATATGTCCAGGAAACCAAGTCCAAAGTTTGGCAGAAGAAATTTGACTCCCAAGCATGCATTGCTGTAGCCCTGGTTCAAGCTTGCTGATGTATTTTTTGTGGAAGAATTATGGATCTTTTTCAGCTCAGGCTCTAATCTAGGTCAAGTGAGAGCTTACCTGACTGCTTCAGAACTGCAGGCTCCTTCTCCAACAGGTCCTGCTCTTTTTGAGCAGATACCTGAGACCCTTCTGGCTCCTGAGTTGCAAGCTCAGAATATGTCAAACTTATTCCTCTAGTTCAGAATCATAGATTGGACTGTAACAATTGATCCTGTTGCACTTAGGAGCTGCCTTTTTAACACTTGTCAGGAATCCCAATTGTTTACTACAAAATGGAGTCTATAATCTATTTTATACATGGAATCAGAAATGAGAAATCTCTTTTAACTGGGAATCCATCCTGAAACCAATGGCATTTAGATTTTTCTTTAAAAAAAAGCACCGCAAAGAAATATACTGTTTTATGCATGGAATTACTAAATAGAAAATTCTAGCTTCAACAGTTCTGTGAGTCTAAGTGTTTAAATGAATGTTAATATTTGTTCAATTTTTTTCAGGGGGACAAAGGGATGTTAAGGCCTGTGCATTCAATGGATTTTTCAGTTGATGTATCCCCATACAGACTTCCCATTATTAACAATTATATGATACCTATTCCACAACCACCCAGAAGTGAAAAAACTATCATCCCCATGAAACCTGTGGGAAGAGGTCGACGGTTTCGCCCTACAACTTCGTCAAATGGCCTGGAGCAGTTGCTAATGAGGGTGATTCTTTTTCTTCTTTCCACTATTGCTTCCCCCCCCCCTATAAGTAATTTTGTAATGTCCTCTACTTAGCATATAAAGATGTGCTGAAATACTCCTTGAGTATTATTTTTTTTTGCAAAAGAAACATCTCCCATCTTTTTAAATTCACACAGATATACATCTTTTGAAATAAAGAAAGTTTGCTTAAGTACGTTTTCCTTTCCTATAAAACATTGGTTTTGTTTCTAATATCAGTCTTTTGAATAGATAAATACTTTGAACCAATAGATAACACTTTGAACCAATCTTCTGAATCTAATTGTACTATTTCATCTAAGCTTTCCTTAAAGTATTTTTCAAAATATAGAGTACCTTTTCTCAACCTACAGCAGTGTAAAAATGTTAGCTGTAAATTCTAGGAATTGCCATCAGAAAGCTTTTGCTCTATTTTAGGGAAGACACCTGGGTAATAGATATAGCTTGATACTATAAAGCAAATAATTTGGAAAAGAAAGATAAGCCCTTTTACAGAAGTTCATTAGAGAAGCTGCATTTAAATATACAAATAATATTTTTAGAAAATTGGTTATATGTGATGTCCATGATATTAAAGAACTCAAAATTATATAGGTTGAAGACATATTATTTATTTTTAGCCAAAAAGGCCTAAACATAGAATCCTTGAGTAAAGTTTAAAATTAAGCTGTTGAATTTGCAAGAACTCGAATATTACTCATAAACCTAATCATTTCCACTATGTTGTCATGTCTGTTTCCCAGGTATGTAATGTCCTATGTCAGGAAGCATATCTGCTCCTTAGTCTCAATGAGCAAAGTTACTCATTGAGACTAAGTACTTATATACAAAGTTATATAAATCTGAATTTAAGGATGATGACTTTAAATAAAACACAAATAACTGAGTAACTGAAATTCCATGAATTTCAGTTAAGCATGTAAAAAAAAGGCTTTCTGTAAGATAGACAACCTCACTCCATTTGTTTCCAATTACTGGTAACTACGTCTGATTATGATTTAAGTATCTCAGATCCACCTTGCAGAAGTGGGCAGCACTCAAAGTATTTTGAAGAAATACTTTCCCAATGATGTCTTTGAAGATTTTTGCAATCCTATAGCAGTGATTGGAGACAAATCTGGATGGGGTAGAGAGACGTATGAGGTTCCTAAAAAAGGCCAAGGTTATGACACATACCCGAAAACCTGTCCCCATTGTCCCCCCCAATGAATGTATCAGAAACTAATCGTAAATAAAATTCTACTCTCCTGATACTTTCAGATTGCAGTCTTATATTTTTCAAGACTGGAGGTCATGGTATGTATTAAATTCATGATACCCAGCTCATCAGTTGGGGGATTTGATATCCCCTCCCAGTCTCAGAGAAATCTTGATAAGCTTTGCCACCTTGACACTGGAATTTCAATATTGGGAAAATAAAAAGAAAAACTCATGGGACATTTCCATACCGAAAGTGTTATAATTAATATACCTCCTGATGTTCAGTAGAATTTTTAATTCTGGGCACTTTGAAATTAAAACTCTTGGCAATGAACAGCAATACTGCTTTCCTAGGCTGTTCATTGGGAAATTATATGAGAGAACATAGAATTTGTCAGTCTATTACAAAGTGGAGAAGGGGAATGGAGATTATTTGGACCCTTTTCATA